ATATATATATACACATATATATATATATACACATATATATATATATATACACACATACACACATATATATATATACACACATATATATATATACACACATATATATATATACACACATATATATATACACACATATATATATACACATACATATATATATACACATACATATATATATACACATACATATATATATACACATATATATATATATACACACATATATATATATATACACACATATATATATATATATACACATATATATATACACATATATATATACACATATATACACATATACATATATACATACATACACACATATACATGTATATGTATATACATATATACATACATACACACATATACATGTATATGTATATACATATATACATACATACATATACATATATACATACATACACACACACACACACACAAGCCTATTTTACTGCTTCATAACGACTGTGTTAAGGAGAAAGGATACAGAAGTGAGACAGTTAGCTGTGAACTACTATTGTCATTAACGATAACAGTACTCACTCTATTGTACGCAGGCAGTATTTCTGGTTATTTGTTAGTTCCAGAAGCACTCTGACTCCTGAGTCTTCCAGATTGTTGCCCATCAGATGCAGCTCTTCCAGATGTTGGGGGTTTGACTTCAGGGCAGCGGTCAGGAACTGAATGCTCCTCGAGCTCAAGCCACAGGTCCTCAGTCTGGAGAGAAACAGAAGTACAGCTCACTTTACCCATACACTACCTGGAAATAACCTATCATAGTCAATGTATCATGTGGTTATTATACAATGAACCATTGTTCAGTTAGCATGACAATATGGATCAAAACATTGACTGTAAAGTTATAGAGCCTTTCAAACACAGACTATTCCATATGGCTGGGTATCTGTTGGAAAAATACAGAATGATATATGCATAATACTTGTACTTTTTCATGATGCTTGATAACTGAGAAACAGACAGTGCAGCTGTTTCATTATAGCCGTGACCTTGCAGTCCACAGGATGTCTTTGAAGACAGATAACATTGACGTTTGTTTCAGAGGAAGCTAAAGGAGGACTGGTTCAACCTGGTACCAACCCTCACCATACTTTGTTATGAAGCTTGTTTATCACTGTGTATAAAGAACAGAGACAGATCTCTGAGCAGCCACGAGACGCATAACTGTATCCTGCTCCTTCTTGCAAGAAAGATCTCAGCATAGAAATAATACATCTGGTGAGATCACAAACAAGATATGTTGCAATTTCACAAAATGTCTTTTAGAGGTATAAAGACTGAAATATTTGGACCCATTGTGGGATTTCTTTGAAAAGTACTGAATAAACAAAAACTTACGACAATTTCTCCAGTTTACTCTGAGGGCTCCTGAGTCCCACACAGAGTTTCTTCACTCCCTTATCTTGAAGATCATTGCCCGACAGGTCCAGCTCACCGATAACGCTCTCCTTTGAAGCAAGTCCTGATGCAAGCTCTGCACAGCAGTCATCAGTCAGGCTGCAGTGACTCAGGCTGAAATGGAACATAAATCAGGTTACAGCATACTGCTCTTTTAACATAACATTTGTGTAATGAAGAATAACGTTTTAAAAAGGATTTAATTGGGGACTTCCATCTAACTGGCTAGGTGATGGCAGCATAGAGCAACAGGTTCCGGACAGTAAGAATTAATAGTTGTTCAATATAACTCAAATCACTGCGAGGCTGTTGGCGTCTTAAAGTTCCACTTAATCCCATCGGGAATCGAGGATTCGCACAATATTCACAGCAGCAAGGCTTTGCTTTAAATCTCTGTTTGCTCCAATGAAGGTTCCGTCAGTGTCAGACCTTAAACTTGACATAGCACTTCCTCTACAATCAATTCTCCACATTAAAGCAAGAGTCCGTATCAAGGGAGTGCGCCACTTCAGGCAGGTCAAAAGCACTCCATACCTTTTAAGAAAGCTACTTTTAATCTCGATGGGGCCAAAATAATCAACTCCCATCTGTGAAAGGAGCCTCGTCCTCAGGTAAGCGCTCCAAGTTGTTCTCTGTGACGTCTACATACCATGCATTCTGCAATTTGTCTTTCTTGCAGCAGAGTCGGCAATAATATTGATAGATATAACATAATAATAATATATTTAATAAGCGCTTTTCAAAAAAAACTCAAAAACCCTTTTCAAAAGGGATAAAATAGAGAGAAATATTAAATAGGGGAAATAGACCAGACGCTGAAGCTGGGGAGCGAGGCACGGAGCTCCACGGTGAAAAGGGACGTTGAACACGGACACAGAGAGGACGCAGGCAGCACTTCTCTTAAAATCAAGGTACTACTTTTGATCCCAAATGAAGCAAAACATTTGAAAATAAATGATTAAAAGATTTACTTGAGAGTTTTCAGATGACTAAAGGGATTCTTCAGTCCAGGTGAGAACTCTTTGACTCCCTCGTCTCCGAGGCAGTTCATGCTGAGGTCGAGGTCTTTCAGCTCCACTGCTTGCCAGCCTGTTTTTTGCATCAACCCGCTGTAGAGCTGGGAGACTGAACACAGGACATTGGCCAAATAAATGCAACCTTTTCCTGTGATTCCACATCTTGAAACACTGAAGGGGGGGAAAAAGAGAAAAACATTTTCAAGTTATCAGTACATGAGCATTGAATGAAGCAGAAACAAATCGTGTCACTCATTTCAACTTTCTGAAGTTTAGCAATGACAATTCTTCTATCTGAGCGTTTTTATTTCAGTCAGCAAGTAATCAAAAGGAGAAATACTGGAGCAAGGCATCCTCACTTGAGTTTCTCTAGACGACACCATGCGTACATGCCCTGGCAGATGAGCTCAAAACCTGCATCTTTCAAGTCGTTGTTGCTCAAATTGAGTTCTAGCAGGTTGCTGTTTTCGAACTTCAGAGCTTCGCCAATACTTCCACAGCTCAACACAGTGAGGCCACAGTGGTATATCCTGCCAAAGAGCAATGATACCGTATTACTGACATCTATTCATGAATGTTGACAAGATGAGGCGAGTGGACTTCTATGAGGTCATACTCACTCCAGCTTGGTGAGCTGCGATATATCACATTTTTTAAAGAGCTCATTGGCGCCTTTGTCTCTGACCATGTTGATGCTCAGATCCAACACTTCCAGGCTGCTGGAGTTCTTCTGCAGAGCTGAGGCCAGATAACAGCAGCCCTTCTGCTCAATGTTGCACTGTGATAGTCTATGAAAAAATAATAGAACAACATAACAGAAATGCTGCATGTGTAGAACAGTATTTGATTTTGACTGTCTATAACCAACACATTTAGTTTGAGTTGCTTCTTTTTTCATTGTTAGAATTTGAGATCAATTTAATTTTAAGAGAAGAAAGTGGGCAGGTATGTTTTTTTCTCTCAACACTTACTTAAGCGTCCCTATCTTGCATTCAGGAGAGCTCAAACCATCTGCGAGATGTCTCACTCCGTCATCTCCTATTTCGTTCATGCTGAGATCCAACTCTTGGAGTTTCAGGGACTGTCTCAGGGCGGTGGCCAGGTATTCACATGCATGCGAGGTCATTGCACAGCCTTGCAACCTTACTGTTTTCAGTCTGCAGTTTGGATCGCTCAGCCCTTCCACAAGTTCCCTGACTCCCTCGTCACTGATGCTGTTGTATCCGAGGTCCAGCTCTCTCAGGTAGGACTCTCTTGTGCTCAGGATTGAGGCTAAGGCTGGACAACACTTATCTGTCAGGTTGGAGAATCTCAGCCTGCAAGGAGATAAAAGGAGACTTTATGGGATTTGTTGACTTTGAGAAAAACAGCCTTATCCTATCATAAACAATACACAACACCAATTATAGCATACAAGAAGAAAATCATATTTATGACTGACTTGCTCCTGGACGTACAGTGCACTGCTTAAGAGTATAAACTCTGGCATTTTTTCTTTTGTTTTGGCATAGTCCTCGTATTGTTGATTTAAACAAAGTAAACCTGTGAGTCTCCAGAACGTCGGTACTGAGGTTACAGGAGAATCAAAAAGCTTCTGAGTGAAGTACGGAAGCCGATTGAAAGAGGAATTATTCCAAAACATATAATAATCCAAATGTGATTAGAAGATATGCATGCATTTTTTATGTTGATGTTTTTATCTTATCTTGGTAGGAATGATCTCGTAAAATGGTGTGTTACCAAAAAGAAGAGCAAAAACAGGAGAACATTGGTGGATCCGAGAAATCAATGGGTAATATTAACATAAGACCAAAGCAATGGATTTAGGATAAGATAAAAGGTTTACAGTTTTAGGGTTGTTTAAGAATGTTTGGTATGCATATGTGAAACATGCACTTTTTAGTCTGTGTAGGACAATAACTGTTGACCCAAAATAGGTGTAAATACAAACTTACATGGCTTTCTTGGATTTCAAAACAGCTGGTAGCTGACTGAGGAGGCTTTCATCACATCTCGTGGACACGTTCATCTGAAAACTCTCTCTCATCCCTTCAAAATTGCTGGTCCTTTGCATCATAAATTTCCAATGCGTTGGTGTGAAATCCGGAATGGGAGAGAAGCCATAGTTCAGGAAGAGCTTGACCTCTCTTAGTAAAGCCTGGTTGTCGTACTCCCTCAGAGAGTGGAACAGACCCACAGCGCTGTAAGACAGAATATTCTCCAGGATCTTCTTCTTGGTGTACTCAAACAGCGGATCAGAGGGCTCCAGCATGCCACGCTCCTTAATGAGGCCAAAGATGAAGCGGAGGAAGACATCCGATTTGCCCTCGGCATTCTTCAGCGCCTGGTCCACCAGATACCGACAGCAGTCAGACCGCACAGGACTTGGTTCAATATCGTCCAATTTAGCAGACGCAGCAAAGAACTCCTGAAGGCTCGAGTGACCGAAGCGAAACACTGTGGAGTCATGTAGCCCCTTCTCTTCTCTCAACACCAGAGGACACTCTTTGGAGAAAGTGGACGCTTCCTCAACACTTAGTTCACTCTCTGAAAAATCAGGCTCGTACATTACATGAGTGTTTCCCATCCGACGCAGGGCCAGCTTTTTCAGCTTGGCAACAATGTCCGAGTTGGATGCTTTGACCAGGTTTGTGTAAATCTGGGTTAAACTCAGGGGATTGATTTTAAACCCAGTCTCGGATTTTAGATGATCATTCAGCACATTTGCCATGATGGTGCAGATTGGAGGTATCTGACAAAGGAAGTCCAGACTCCTTGATATTTTCACGTGGTCGATGGCTTTGTTGGCCAGATCATCATCACCGATTACCGTCCTGAAGAGCTGCTCCTTCTGTTCATTACTGAACCCTTGAAGCGCAGTCTCTTTCAGCAAATGGCAACCAGGGATTAGTGTTGCCGCTGCAAATCGAGTCGTTATCCATATATGTGCACTGGGAAGTAAATTCCCCCTGATCAGACTGGTCACTAGAGTATCCACTGTGGATGTCTTAGAAACATCACTCACAGTTGGACAGCTGAAGTTTAGCGGGAGATGATACTCATCCAGTCCGTCAAGGACAAACCACACCTTGTTTTCATTAAGGCAGGAAAAGTCAAGCCCCTTCAATTCAGGGTAAAACGTCTGCAGAAGTTCAATAAGGCTCAATTCACGTCTCAGCAAATTTAGCTCCCAGAAGGTGAGAGGAAACAGCAGCTGGATGTCGTGGTACCCTTTCCCCTCGGCCCACTCCAGGGCACAACTCTGCACCGTTGTGGTTTTTCCAACTCCACACACTCCTAAGGTGATGACTGTTCTTTTGCTGCTGTTATGTTTGCAGTCGCACGATAAAATATCTGCGAGCGGGACGGTGTTAAAAACAACCCAAGTATGAAGGTCGGAATTGTCAACATATCTAAACTCATGCTGGTGCAAATTAGATAACGGGTAGTCGTGCTTGAGCCCCCGATAGCAAAGTCTTGAAGGAAGTAACGAGTTTTCGGAGTATGCTTCATTTAGTTTCTGATATTTGTTCTTCAGTGTGGATTTCAGAGAACTTTGGAGATCCATCACGGAGGCAGTGGTTCCTGCAAAGATGAGAAGACGGTGAGTGTAAAAAACAGAAAATAGACCTTAATGTTCAGCTACACAAAACGGCAACAGCTGTCTTGGTTGCAAGAGTCTTATTTAGTTACCAAAGGAGGCAGTTAAAGTGTGTCTGCAGCAAAGAGACAACGGATGAACACAAACTCATCTCCATTGATTATAGTGTTGTGGTGAAGTTTCCCTCGCCTGAATAAACAACACGATTAGTGTGGAAGCGAAATGAAGTAAACAATGGTGTTGAAAAGGTGTACAGCCTTGCTGCGTAACCGATACCCTCTCTCCCTCCACACGGAGCGCTGGGAGATGGCTTGTCCAATAACCTCTGACCTAGGTAATCAAACGCACCCCCCAAAATCTACACGCAAGACCATCTTAGCCTGCTTAGAGGGGCTGCAACCAGGATAACTTAATACCACTAGCCACCGTTGTATCTCTTATTTCAGACTAAAAAACGTCGGCCTCTCCGACAGCCGGATATCAACGGATTTAGGTGTGTTTGTGCGTGTGTGCATGTGTGCGCGTGTGCAATAGGTGTGGGAGGACTGGAAGTACACCAGGGTGGACCCGCTCTCTTGGGTCACCCCTGGAGGAGGAACCCTGTGTGGTTGGGAACCTCGCTTGGTTTTTTAATTAAGGGCAGCTTCAGGACCCTGGCCCTAACACCCGTAACTTACAGTTCCAATCTAAATCCCTATTGCTTCTCAAAATACACAACCGCTAGCGTTTAAACACTATCATCAACACTGCAACATCACATGTGATACATCAGCAGAGGTTCAACATCAATTCTCATCAAAAAGTCTAAGTCTACTCAAATTCAAAAACAATTATCAATTCTCATAACAGAGCTATGAAATCGGTCTGATCCAACCGAGTTAGTACACTTATCTTATCTTTAATGTTTTAACAGTAATAACATTTCAATTCTATGTCCAATCTACATTCTTACTGTCAGCCTTTCCCAGGGGAAGAGCACTCTTACCTTTAGGAGTCTAGTGGAGCATCAACAGAGATGAGCAACACTGGACTTTGGTCGGAATGCACAAAATACAGGCCGGTTTTATTTGGTTTTTACAAAAAGTAAAATAATCGAATTACAAAAATTGAATATCGGAAAAGTTCTATAAAGTGTCCTCACGTCCGCGAGCCAAGCCCAAAAAGCCCCGCACCGCTCTCCTCGCCTCCTCTTTATTCTCCTCTCCATCTCCATATTTGGTAGACAACAGGTCCTTCTCAGATCATTTAACAAAACAGTATAAGTATTCATTACTTTCAACGGGCTTAATTTAACGTTCAGACAACTTCCCCGTTAACCCCTCTTTTCTCAAAGCAGGGGTGTAATGGGAACATGCGATATATGCTTCTGATAGCTTGCCCCCCTTCTTTATGACCTCGAGAACATGCACTCATTGTATCTTCCCGCGTTTTATGCTTTAAGGACACAATGCACTTCTTATGTGCCTGATGTTTACCCATATAGTAATCTCCTATACTTCACTCATTTTACGGCCTGCATGGTGTGGTGCAGGATGCCTCAATACATAGGCCCTATTGAACAGGGTGTCTCTCTGACTCTTTTCCCCTGATGACGGTCCGTCTTTCGATCAGAGTGAGTTTACTCTTAGTTTACTTATTTAATTTTGCTTACACATACATTTAGTAATTCTCACATGATTATATTTCAATAAAGGATATAAAGTCACACATTAAATCAAAGTCATCCTTGAACCATCTCAACACAGTATGGGAATACATGTAACGATGTAAGTGTCAGCCAAATGCTCAAACTCTATGATGCCGTCATTACGTTCTCTCTTTGTCTCGTCTCTCGCCCATCAGGCTGAGATGTGTCGTTTAGAGTATCAGAGTTCATCTGCAGTTCACACCAGCACTACTTTCTCCTCGATACAAGTTTTTGTTCAATCATAGTTACATTAAATCGACTAATCAACTGATGTATTCATTATTTTAATACCAAGATATTTACGAGGGTGTAGCGTGCCTCGGACATTATTGGTGGATACCTCAACGGTGTAAATCAGAAATGTTCTGTTTGACTGCATTAATCCTGCTTTACTCGTACAACTAATCAGATATACAAATCAATCACAAAGCCTCAGTATGAGAGCACACATCACAAAATGTGTGAGGATAATCACACACTACTATACACTTAGGAGTTGTAAAAGAACGTAGATCTCACTCACTGCAGGCTCACAAATGTATGATCAATGCCGTTTATGATTATGTGCAAAGTTGCATGGAACGTCCACGAGTGTCACATGACCAAAGCAGAACTTGCTGAAGGCCCAGGGTCTGTTCTCAGCATGCAGAACCCGAGCTCTGTCTCAATAGAAGATCGCCAACCTGGACATGTGTCATTGTTCTACAACTGTGTTTGCTTGTATTGATGCAAATAAACCAACATGGAGTGCAGACTGTGTGGGAGTCCTCGTCATTAGGTTCCTTTGTATTGAGACCAGTGGAGTGTCACCTTGTGTCAGACAGTTTTAACCGCTGCATTAGTCATTGCATGTCAGCACATTATTTACCAAGCTACACACAGCAGGGCAGGAAACGAAAAAGTTAAGATAAGTTGGATAGTTATATAATTATCTTGAAATACTAAAATGATCTGCTCACATACAAGCGCAAAACACTAAATCACTGTGAACACAGAATCCTCATCTCAGCATCAGTCCCTTTCTTATGATTAGCATAGTCAGCATTTATACATTAACGCTGCAATACATTTCCAATGTATGGCAAAAGAGAAAAGCAAAACACAAACTTTGTGGTAGAAACAAAGCAGAAGCAGTAGAATCCCAATCATAAGACACAGTCTTATTATCTGCATGTGTACTGAATACAGACAGTCTCAGTTCCTCCCTGCTGCTGGTGAAAGAGTTGCTCTGGAGGAGAGTTCTGTTCCACAACATGACTTCGTGATGAACAATCCATTTTTAAATCGAGTTAAACACCAGGTGTACGATGTTGCTGTATTCAACTTAATGAGTCATGTTTCACCTGATGAGAAGAAAACGAAAGAGAAACTCGACCGGCTGAGTCCGTCTGTAAAGTTCAAATGTTAGTCAACATGATACCCGTTGGTGCCGCGTACGGTTATCCTGTTGACTCGGTGTGAGCAGCCCACGTCCTATTCATGAAGCCCCTAGCGTTACTTACCAAGACGAACCACGAGTTTCCAGGACAGACACGGACAGAAGAACCAGAGACACACCGAGACCAGCCGCGGCTCGAGCGGATGGAACTAGCTGACTGCCTAACGTTACTTGTCAGGAAGACGTCTGCGCGCAGCCTTCAGCAGTACTTTAGACTACTTGTCTCTATGCTGCCCCCTGCTGGTCACTGAGGACCATGACGGCGCTCTATGCTAAACATTCAGCAACAACGCTCACACATCACTTCCAAAATGGCTGCAAAACTGGTCAGCACATTTGGCAGAAGTAGCTAATTTCAAAAAGCTTTTTGTTGTTACTAAAGGTAAGTTTCAACACCTTTAACCATTCCAATGCTTTGATAACATGTCATACATTACATCTAAATTGTGTTAATGTTTCACAATCAACTTTATATATGAAAAGTAATTGTAATTATAAAAATGTATAATCGTTGCAGAAAAACCAATGTGACCTATTTGTCACAATAACAAAAATAGCAATGGTCAACTGATTTAGCTGATTCAATTATTTTTAATAAAATATTTTCTGTTTTAAACAACATTTAAACAAATATGAACTTTAAATACTGTCAAATTGATTACAATTAACATTAAAACAGCTCATTGATGCAATTCGTTAAAAATACAATACATTAGGTGACGTTACTCTCCTGGGGGAGACTAATTCCTGTCAATTAAGATGAAACTTAACCCGTAAACGCTACTGAGGTGATCGTGCATAGTTTAGTTGATATTTCAGGTCACAGGCTCTCTGAGTGGTTGGACAGTCTTCCTCAATTCCAGATCTCTGGAAACAAACACACTCTTCCCTTCAAAATGATCCTGAAGTCTATGAACATTTCAAATGGATCTCATGTATTGTGTTGCATGTGTGTTCTGTAATAACAGCTGGTTAGATCACATTTAGAATGACTTTGTTATTTCATAAACGTAGGCCCAAAACACATCCTCAGAACCCACAGACATGTATTGAAGATGTGAACCCCATCGGGCACCTGCACGCATCTTTATCCGTTAGAGACATCTGTCCCTAGTCTTCAGCCTAATCTCTTGGGTACCCACACTCTGCCATCACCCAGGCCTCTGTGCACCAATCTTTGTCGAGCATCTTTCCAAGTGGACAGTTAATAACCGAGACCGAGCTCGGCTCACAGTAAAATAAGTTGTATGACATTCACACCTTGCATTTTAAGATGAAAATGATGTGAACATCTGGTGAGTTCCTGTTCTGGATAAACTATCTACAGTCATTTAACAAACCCCCCTTTATACTGTATTTACATGTTTCCTCTCTAACCGGCACAGTGAAGAATCCACTTTCGTCCTGACTGCAGCCTTCCTAACCACCGTGACTCATGCAAAGTCACACAATCAGGCTTTTCTCAGAGGGGGAGCTCTTCTTCACCTATGACTTAAAGGTTACAACAGCTTTTAAGCGTATGTATACTTTGTATCGTTGATTGGATAATATATCAGATTATTGATACAAATACATGAGGTTTCATTCAGTCTAAAATAACAAGAATACATTTTCCGACCACACGCTCAATGCCCAGTCAATTTTAAGGATTCAGTTTATTTTCATGGAGAATGCCTCGCAGAAGAAGTTGCACTGAGAACAATTATTGTCATGTACAGACGTGAACTGTGATGGAAACACTCATCGTGTTATCGTCATTCCTGAATAACTTCCACCTTCTTTGCTCTGGTTTGTGGTCGGAAAATGTGGATTGAATGTAACCTTATGTATTCATATCAATAATCTGATATATGTCTTCGCCGTTCAAATGTGTTCCAATCACAAATACTAAGTATATGTGCACCTATGAAACATTGTATAATTTTAAATCACAGATAAAGAAAAGTTCACTTTATGTAGAGACAACAGCTTGAGTGTGTGCACAGACTGTGCATGTGAAACAGGATGCCGAGCCAGGTGGAAAAGGGAGCCGTCAGACAACAGTGGAGTCTCCATTGATGACGGTTTTAGAAGGGACCAGGAAATATAGTATAAAGGGGGGTTTGATGGATTACTGTAACTGGATCCTTTGTAAAACAAGAACCAGAGGTTCGGGGCCTGCTCTCATGCACAACTCATCCCAAAATGTTATGAAAGAATGTCAGTAATGTGTTTTTCTTGCCATCCGGGCGCTGTGCCAGTTGATTCACTGTTCACTTGGGATATCTGGTCAGCGGAGGGTGGGCAGCGGCCTGGCTGATAGCAGAGGGAGGATACTGTTGGGGAGGAGACTGGTAATTCATTTAGACACCCAGAGATGTGTAACAAATTCAGTAGGCTAGAGGCAGGGATGCCGGAACCCAGGGTAGGGACAGTTAGGTTACCCAGACCCGGACCAGACCAAAGGTATGAAACGGTGTGTATTTCTATTGTGAAGTTCATCGATCCTGGGACAACTCGGTTAGCTTGTACTCTGTGTGATGCTAATAAACCTACGTGTAGTGAAGACAATCTCTTTTGTCGTCTCTGGGTGTTCCTGGCAGTGAGATCCTGTGGGGTCTCACTGTTTGTCAGATAGATACAGTTATTAAGTCAGCAGTAAAATATTAAGATTCAAGCATATTCAACGACGCTGCTTTTTCCAAAATCAACCACTACACGTTTTTACTCATCATTTTGTTCCACTCCCTGGCACAAGTCTACTTTGGTAGAAACGAGTTAGAGTAAGTCAATGACATGGGTGTGTTAGTGGTACAATAACTAGTCTTTTTGCCATCAAATATATCATTACCTATCACAGAGACAGGCTAGTTCGATGCTTGATAACTCGCTAACAGTTCCAGGAAAGCTTTCAGCCAAGCTTTACGCTAGTTTGAAGTGGCTGTAATCATGGAAGGGTCAATGATTTACTGTTAAAAACACCAACACGTGCGTGAGGCTCTCTCAGGAATATGTTGAAGGAAATTGTGTTATTTACATAAAATATATGTTATAAATTGAATTAAAACGTGAAGAAAACATGTCACTTGTGATTGGAAAGTAAGTATATTCATGCTCAAGAACATAGAGAGGGAGAAGGCCATCATGCCCTGTACATGCCAGAAAGTATACGTTACTAGGAGTATTAATGGAGAGAGAGGCAGAGAGCATGTCTGTACCAGGAGCTGACACAGGAAGGTCAGCTGTTTCACTTAACAACCGTTGGACCGCTGACAGAAACTCAATCTCCATGCCGTTCAAGTCTTTATTTGATTCCTCTCTGTCTTTTAAACTTTTAACAATGTGCCAGTCCAATCAGAATTATGTCAGTCAGAGTTTTAAATGATAATTATAATCAACACGTAGACTAATTGGGGGGGTTCCAAAACACTGTTATTGAATACACGTTCCTGTCTTGTGGTTTTTTAGGACGTCCCGGGGAAAGGTCCACACCCTCACGGTCGGCCCTTCCTCCTCATAGACCACCAATGCAGAACATTTAGAAGAGGTTTTTCTGCTTACCTTTAAGTTGAGCTCAAGGCGCGTTCAGTCTGTGAGAGAAGAGGTCACCCTGCTTGGGCCCGGTCCCCGTGGAGTCCTCCTGGCTCAGGCTCGTCAACTGTTCGTCAAAATGCTCGTCAAATGTTGTGGTTTATTTTCAATGTCGATGATCAGCTTCTTTGACTTTATGACTTATATTAATTAAAACTCGATACCTAACGGCTGACTTAATGACTGGTTGCTATCTGACTCGTGGTGAGATACCACAGAAACTCACTAAATGGAACTCAGTAACGAACACCCACAGAACACAAGAGCGATTGGATTTTCTTCAGTTCACGCAGGTTTATTTGCATCACACAGAGTACACGTAAACCGAGCTGTCCGGAATCAACTGACTAAAACAAGGAAATGTAAATTACTTTATACCCTCGCTCCCCCTCTTCACACACATCCGCTCTCAACTTTCCCCTTGATAGTCATCTTCTTCATCCTACATCCAGTCAAGATTCGTGGTGTACTTTCGACCCATTACACAGGGGACCTTGGGTTTTTTTGGAGATATGAGAAGTACTAGTTATCTGTTCATTGCACTTTATTCCGATGTACACCTGACACCGCTCTTTCTCCGCTAAAAGCTTGTAATGGAGAGGGTTTAACAGCTTACATCTGTACATTGACAATTTCGGTGCGTGCGTTGTTTGGATTCAGCTGACTTGGTTCCAGGCTTCGTACTATACAACCTCTTTTCTCACTGTGAATCTGCTAACCTCCTGACCTGAACTAGACATTTAAATCTGTGTGCAAGTGTTTGTAAGAGTTTACCCACATCCTGTCTCTTTGCGACACTGCATGAGCGATACTGCTACAGGCCTCAACGTGAACTTACATGATTTTATGAGCGTGAAGTATGAAATGTGACCATACATAGCTTTATAAATGTGAGATTGTGAAGATACATGACTTAATTCCAAACAATGAATATGATTGTACACGCATACATTTTTCTCCCACAGAGGCCTGATCCCGGTCTCTAAATCCGGGAGATCCACATCTGATTATTACAGAAGCCCCGAGAGACAAGTGACAACAAATTTTCGACATTGTTTTCTCCTTTAATTATGATTTAAGAACACGTAAAAAGTTTTTTCATCTGTGAAAACAGGTGCCCATCAGCCCCTCAACAATAAACCCTTAGAAAATGATCCTGTCAAAATAGATTTGGTTAAGCTTATCTCCATTTATACTGATCCTCTATGACCTTCATCAGTAAACAAGACCATCAGAGAGAAGATTGTCTATTTCTATATAGTTATTCTGAATGCTTGTCATTCTCTCTGACAGGTGGGCGTCATCTCCGTTCACCTCCCGCCTCAACTCCACCTACAATCCACCTCTTTGCCCGTTTTTAGACCACGTCCACACTACTCCGTTTCCATTTGAAAACGCATATGTTTTGCTACGTTTACACTGAGCGTCCACACTACGCCGGCGTTTGAAAATGCTCTCAAGGACGGATAAGTTTGAAAACTCCGGGGTTGCGTATACCCTGTCACGTGACCGTTACCCGGAAATCATAAACAACATTGATTACCGATTGACTACCAGGTTAATTTAACATGGAGAACTGATTACAGCCTTTACTATCCTTGTTCTCTTTACTAGCGGCTGTTGTCCAGTTAAAGTCTGCATTATTACGGAGGAAGCAGCTGTTATTGGAGCAATAAGAGAGCGGCGTGACCAGCGGCGTTATCAGCCCTACGGAGTGGCCGTCTGAAGTCACGGTTAGCGGCTTTAGGGAGGGTGATGGACACAAAACGGAGGACTTTCCTGTCCTTATTAATGCTTATTTTGTTCTGTACATCTATTGTGAAGTCCGCAGATAAAATGTAAAGGAACAAAAGCAGTAATTGCTCTCCAGTAGGACAGATAGTTAAGCCACCAGCAGAGCTACAAGTGAGAACAGACAACGAAACCGAGGAAACGAGTGAGAGACGTGTGTTGACCACATTTATGATCCATAGTCTAGTAAACCTTTATGTGTAAGTGTTGATTTTAAAGTAAATTTGATATGAGAGAGCGAGAGCGAGAGCAAGACCCGCAGCGCTGTAACTAACGTTAAGTCTGAAAAATAAAACTTCTAAAACTTTCCACGAAATGTGTTTGTTTGAGTTCATAGAGGAAGATTTTAGAGAAGAACTGAGAAATATTATCCTGGCACAACCTTTTCTTTCACCTGTTCTTAATCCACAAACACAGGTGAGAAAACTAATTAGCTCAGAAAATGAAAAATGGATCACCCATATTTTTTCTCTCACTTGCCTCTCAGGGCTTCCGTAAATTATTGACCAATCAGAAACAAGTCAGGTTTTGTTCTTCTGCATTTCTGTACAGAAGAGCATTCAGTATCTAGAAGAAAAAGAAACACAATGACAAATGGTTCATTTGACTTTATACATCAAACCACAAAGACACATATTCCCCTACATCACAACCTTCTGTTTAGACCTGTGCTGTCAAAATGGACACTTCTTCCAAAAATAATGTAGCAAGAAGTCCGCTTTGAGCTCTCCATAACAAATTATAGAAACAGTGTTGTTTTAAATGGACTTTCAAGATATAAATCCAAGTCTACTATCGAGTCCTGTACAGAAATATTAAATCAGAATATAAATCTTTAGTGATGGAAAATTTGAATATAAAAATATTTCTACACGGACATACAAGCTACAATTGACCAGCAATTGCAGAAAATATACATAAGAGCAATAAAAAACTACTTTTACAATAGTTCATTTGACTTATTAAATCAACGTTTTAGCATGACGTTTTTATCTGGGTCATTTTGATGAAAGCTGACTAATCCCTGGATGATAGCTGAAAGCTTTCAGTAGCAACACACTGTATGTAGTATGTTCAATTCCTTTTGAAGGGACCCGAGACAACAGCAATTAAGGCAAACGTTGGTTACATAACATGCAATATTAAACTGTATGACCTCTGCTTTAGCATACTTGTCCAAGAAACCTTTCACCTCCATTATAATACTTCACATACTCAAAATCCTGCAAACCAGCCTCTAAACACGATCTGATACCACCTAACCTACTTCACATTCTTTTTGACCCAAACTGAGCCACAGTCTTGATCCTTCCCCTTGGTGGTCCCTCATAAGGTAAATTACCTTATTTGCCTTGCATCATATTTGATATTTTATCTATGCATCAATATGCCAATATACAGCTCGGTTTCTGTTTCCATTCTGACGTCCTCAAAACTATCTACAAAATCTATAAGCACCACCATAATACCACAAAGCATAAGTATTGTTTAGGATCAAGTGCAGCACGCTGTGATAATCTCCGGATCTATTCAACTTGAAGGCAGTTTCCATTGTGCATGATGGCAGGGACACAGAGGTTGAGGTTAGGGACCCTCCTGTAGACAAAGTGGAAGATCTGTGCCCGGGGCCGGCCGTGGAGCTCGGCTTTGATCCGTTGAGGGTGTGTGTCCGGGGCCAGCTGCTGGCTAGTGTCCTTGGTGGCCAGAAACAGTGCGAAGGTGTCAGGGTCCGGGATCTTGAACTTGTAAGCGCAGAGTGAGCACACCTCCTCTGTGGTTGTGTACGGGTGGACGATCAGGGTTTTGGCCGTGCAGCCTGTGTCCACTTCCTGCAGGGCTACACGGAGATAGTTCTACAGAGAGGAACAAAAAGCCCTGTGTTAACATTTGGCACAGATGGAAATCTCCACAATGAATGAAGGTCAAGAGTCAAGAGCACATGCAGAAAAAAGACATGCAGTGATAGCTGTAGAAGAAAAAAAAAAACACATGCAGTTTTTTAATGTTCCACTAGAGGGTGCTCTAACAAAACATAAAACTGAACCGTGGCTCCAAGTCCTCATGCTGTGATATTAGTAGAAATTGTAGATTTATTCCCGTTCACTGACAAGGGCCGAAATGCAGCACCGTTCATGCTGAGCGTGACGTTTCTTTTGAGGGGGGGTTTTGAATCGGTACAACTTGGACTCACTGCCTGGATGTTCAAGTCGGGTTCAGGTCAGGCGCGATACCTGAAAGTCGTCCACAGACGGTGCTGAACGTTGGGTGGTTCGCCGTCTGTGCCACTGGTGCAGAGTGTTCCTGGCCTCAGAGCTCAGCACCCGCGCTGCCTGCTCCTCCTGGAAGTTCTTGATGAGGGCCATGGCTCCGTAGGCGCTGGTCAGGTAGTAGCCCCCTGGGGGGTGGGTGGGGAGGGTTAGGGTTAGTAATGTTTTGAGGATGGATGGAGAAAAATAAATCAAACTGAGCTAGTTATGTAGAAATGAAACCAGCGGACATTACATGGGCAAGAGATGAACACTTCCTCCATTGGAACAGAAATGAATCACAACATAAAGGACTGAAGCTCTAGGACACACACCACATACTGTACATTTGAGCTTACTCTACGTGCCAGACAGGTTGACGCTGATAGGAAAATATTTCATTCTGGGAGGAGTCAGCCTCCTTTTTCCTCTGAACCTGCTCCAGCCCATTCAAATCAAACGCAGACTGGAATGTCCTGCCAATGTCAAAAGGACTTTCCTTCCTACGTCTTAAGTTTCTCAAGCTGATTCACAGAAGCTTCCTGGTGACCTCCACTCAGCTGAGAAGGCCCCGGTACAAGACCTGTGTTAGATGCTACCAATGTAAGAATCACAAAACTTCCAAAAACACTTCAAAATGACTTCATCTACCACAAGAAAAGTCTTCAACATCAGCATTTCTTTAAGCAGCATGTGATAGTAGAACTGTCTTAGGAGTCAGAGGATGTTGCTGGTGCTGATCATGATACTGCAGTAGTAATAGTCATGCCTTGTCTTCACTATACTGCAGTGATCGATTAGGGACATAAGCAAGAAAACACACCCATGCTACATTCCACACACTACAGCCTCACTGGGTCTGGTATGAACCCATGCTTATAGTGGCTAATGTTAGCTAGCTTCCAATAAACATTACTAAGTTGACTTAATGACATAGTGTAACCATTATTCTGTAAGAGCCATTTGTAGCCTTAGCAAAAGGTTACACAGTTAAACTTGAGCCACAAAGCTAACACAGAACCAGTGTACAACAGCTCAAACTGGAAAGGAAAGATCCAACACTAGTGGAAGTGGAGGAAAATCAAACCGGTGTTTATCCCCATGCACTTTCACATGGTAAAAGGAGAGTTTCTGTGGTTCTTCTTTGTGCTCTGTCCTTATCAGGGTCAGACCTTTCTGTAAGTTCTAAAAATAATCGTTTAACCTTTTGGGAAATACACTTATTTGCTGTCTTTCTGAGGGTGAGATGAGAAGAGCAATGTCCATCTCATGTCTGTGTGTCGAGTACAGAGCAGAAGCTAGCATGTCGTTAGCATAGCCCAGCAAAGACACAAGACAAGTTAACAAATATGCCTCCTTATACAAAATACAACTTGTTATTTTGAGAGCTTCAGAGGTTTTAGTAGTTTGTTTGCTGTCTCCTCCTGCGTACAGTCTCTACTCTAAGCTAAGCTAAATACACCCAGCCCTGTACTAAATGAACAGCTAGTACAATATTTGGCCTTGTACCCTCCTCTCACGGTGTATTGTGTGTTTTCTCTCAAGTGTTACATACCAAGAAGGTCATGGATGAGTGATATGGAGCAGACCTACCCTCTCCTTGCAGCAAAGACGGGTCCAGCAGCTCCATCATGTACTGGATCTCTGTGTCCAGCTGAGGCATGTCACACTGAGCCACCACATAAGTCAGCATGGGCAGGAAGTCATCGGCACCGAACATCCTCCCTGGTAGGAAGCAGACGCAGAGCGGTGAGGCAGATACAAATGTCATCGCTGTAAACACAATCTGAACCTAAGGCTGAAGAATCTGGTTCAGAAGAGGAGACTTCCTCTGTTTGCTCTCACTGAGATTTCTTCCTTGTTTTTGTTTTTGCTGTTCCGATGCTAGGTTCAAAGCACAGAGGATGTCTTATGCTGTACTGATTGTAAAGCCCTTTACAATCCCTTGTATAGCCCCGCATTGTGATGCAGGGCTATACAAATAAATTAGTTTGAGTTCAAAATGCTTGCCTTGCAATATTGGTTTTATTCTCAGGCTTTCTGTCACATGCAGGGTAGCACTTCTCCATACCTGAGTTATCCTGCATGATGGTATAGATGAGTTTACACACACGCAGCAGCAATGACACCTTTTTCTCGGGAGAGTACATCTTCCTCATGTTTAGGAACTTGTGGCAGATCTTCTCGATAGCCTCGGGGTTGGGAGGCACGGCTCCGTCCACCCCTAACTCTTGCGGCCTCTTGGTCTTAGCCACGGCCAGGTTCTCCCTCAGCTGCTGCAAAGCTCCGCTGCTCACCTGTAGAGAGCCACAGACCAACCAATATGCTTACTTTACCCAGTCGACCAGTAAAGAACAGTTATTTTTAATGTCTCTTATCGCCTCTTTTGGGGATTTGATTTTTTTTTTTGAACATTGTGATCCTTCTCAAGCTAAGAACATATCCTTTTCTAATGAGCGTGCACTAGTGAATTTATGATATTGTGAAATGGGATGGTAGAGTAACCCTGCCGGAGAACAAGATTCCACTTATCTCTTACCTGGAAGTCATGTAAAGCCATCTCGATCACACTCCTCAGAGGCTTTAGGACACACTTGTGCATGGCCTTCTCTAGCACCTGGTCTGTAGAAGATGGCACACACACACACATACACACACCACGTTATCGCAAACCAATAGATCAAGAAATCATTAAGGAGGAATGACAAAGAAACTTTTGCACCTGAAAGCGCATCATGGCCTCTTGAGTGAGACCAGCGAGGACACATCACACTAAACTGAAACTGCTCTGTCAGCTACTATAAAAGTTAGAAACACAGCACTGTTTGGTCACCTGAACATTGAATCACATATAAATAAATACACACACATATAAAGCACAATCAAGACGTTGTACAAAGTCAGCTGACGGCCCAGCCCAGATCATCACAGTGGTATATTCAGCTCTGAGAACCTAAATCTCCTCAGCCGATGGTATACAACTATGTCTGTGCTAAGTACACTTCATCATGTTCCACTGTGGGACAGTTACAGAGCATCACAGTGAGGAGGCCGTGGGCTTATTTAGGGAGAAGACTGTCTTTCTTTCATATCAATCTTGTTGTCAACAAATGCCATGAAAACACCAACAACCAACCACCTATTCCTATTTTCTGACGATCCGTCCTGTCCGTGTCCCTCAGCCTCCGGGACTTTAATTCCTGCTGGACATGTACATCTACGAAAAGGGGTCGCATATAGTTTCATTTGATAAAAAAAAGGCCAAGTCCTCATTGAGCAAACATAACTGAACAGGAGCAAACCAAGCCAGTAGCATCTGTTTCTAGAAAGGTATACATTCACAAAAAAAGACATTTCATAGAAATGTAGCAAATCAAATCTGAACGCTTTCACTTCCTGGTTTGAAACAATCTTAAAAGGACCAGTGTGCAGGATTTAGTGATGACTGCTACTCCCCCGCCGACAGTGGCCTTCAGGGGCATTCATACCACCAAGTCCAAGCTGCCACTTCAACTTAACAACGGGACAGTCTCTCTCCAGAGCCAGTGTCTGTTTTGCCCTTCTGGGCTGCTGTAGAAACATGGAGGTGTATCATGGTGGACTCTGTGAAGAGGACCAGATGTAGATATAGATGGCTCATTCTAAGCTAACAAAAACACGAGGACTCTTAGTTTCAGATTGATTTAAACACAAATGAAAACATAGTTAGGAATATTAACACATTTCTGCCAATAAATACCACTAAATGCTACACACTGGAACTTTAAGCAACAAAAGTGATAAATAACTAACCTCAAAGTCTGACCTTCACCAGTCATATTTGTTTTTACGTGTTCTTTGAAGAGTTAAAGAGTGTGAGATTTATCGGGTCTCAGCTCCAGTGCGACCGTGACGAATCCAACTTGGAAGTCTATTCAAAAGTATAGCATTCATTCAGCTAGACCTCCACAATGACTCCATCTGTACCTCCCACCTACACACATGGGCTTCAAATACTCTCCTGCCTACCTCAACTATGTACAGCATGTTGCATTTACACAACTGTGTCTTGTTGTTCACTTGCAGCACTGACACAGCTATTCACGCACAAGCATCCCCAGCCTCCAGGCAGAGTTCATGCAATGAGCTCCACACAACCAACTGCACGCTTTGCAACAGCATGAACTAGCGAGCGTGCACAAACAAGAATCCTGATCTTGTGGAGAAATGTCTGACTTTATGGTGAGTCACGGGGTGAATGTACTGCACTTACACACTACAGCATGAAAGCCTCCACAGTGTGTGTGTTGTGGGTCGCCTGAGGTAAGGGTTCTTTACTGCACAAGACTAATACATCTGAAGTGAAGAACAAGGGGAGGCCTGAGGTGTTTACAGAGGCCGGAGAGACCCCACTGATCCTCATGTGTGCACAAGGAGCAGCACAGAGGCTGCTAAGGACACACGGCATGTAGGCACACACACACACACACACTTTATGACTGTAGACTTCCTGATTCCCCCCAGAAAGGCTCACTTCCTTTGTATATTGAGCAATGTTTGTTATTGGGCTCATTCTCGACTACAGCCTGTTCAAAGTCTTCCTCAACTTCAATAAACTGTGGGGGACCCTGTGATAAACAGTGTGTACACACAGACATACAACAACATACATACCAACAAGCACTATAAGAGAAAAGCACTGGAAGTAATGAACACAGAATTCTGCAGTTTTCTGTTTTACGTGCCACAAACAACAGCTTTCCTTTTCCTTCCCATCCTTCCTCCGTTTGTTCCTCCATGGCCATGAGTTAGGGTGTGTTCAGACAGGTATACAGCCTCACTCAAAATGTCTGGACTTCCAGCTCCCCCTTTCACTACAAACACAACATTTCTTTCCCCCCAATGTCAGACTTTCAGCCGTAACCTTTCTGTAAACACTCAGAGCCCAGACGTCAGCTCGGCTCCACTTCTCCTTTCTCTTGAAGCTATTCTGTGGGATTGTAGCTTGTCGTCCAGACTGCCTGCTAGCTGCTCGTAGCTCACAGTTTTGTTTTGGTTTTCCACCGAAAAATGAATAGCTGTAATTTTGACACACCTCTAACCATCTATCAATTAGGCCTCCGGTAGATTTCTCTCATGATAGTGCCTTTAAAATAGTTTGGAATTCCAGTTTAGCCCAAACTGTTATTGAAAAACTTGATTCCTATTTCCATAGTCTCTTTATAAAGAAATTGTGACATTTAATGTGCGTATCTGTGGTCTGTCGGCACAACCAGAACGGATCACTGCTCCGTCTCTGAACAAGGCTTTGCTGTTATTGTTTACAATGAACAAGGGACGTGAGATGAGTGCAAAGACACACTTACATATTCATGCAAATACTCAAGTGCACAATAATCTGATTGGAATGAAACGTCCCTTTGATAGAGCTGCTCATGCCTGCAAACTTTATTTTTTACAATCATCATGACCTCAATGGAACAAAGCAACAACTTTGATACTGTGAATTTAGAAAGAGGGATTCAATCCCAATAACGCAACAGTACTGTTTTCTTTTTCATTTTCCATGCAACTAAAGAAGCCAATGATCACAAATGTTCAATAAATGTTGCTTTAATAAACAGTCAACATATCTGCCAGCTTCCAGTACTCAGTGCTGCGGAGACACATTTCAGTGAGGACCAACATTAGGTTTAATACCAAGCAGGCCTAATTAACATACAGTTAAATGAAATGTATGCTTCTTTTTTTTTTAAATAAGCCTCAACTACGCTGTAAGGTTATGGCAACCAACAAGAGCCAAGAATTACTCGTTGGGGCACAGCACACTGGCATTTCTGAAACTCAACACCGGTAATGAGGAAGGCTAATTTGGAAAACTTCTAATAGTGTGTCTAAAGGCAATGACAAGCCTGGGCACTCACTGAACGTCATCAATGAATCAAGTCGCCCAGAAATACTTTTCTGAAGCAGCACTGAAGACATTTTACTTCTCAAATGATACTGGAAGGAAAACATGAAGATAAGTGAATGCTGTCAGTGATGGGATATCTAAAAAATGACACACATGTGCCCACGCATGCAGACGCACAAGCTTCACCAAGTCAAGACCCACGATCCCGCCACGCAAACAACAAATCTCAAATAGTTTTAAAGAGTTGCAGCCTTCTTGGCCAACTTACCGATCTGGTCCTCAGGTATAAGTGACTCTATAGGGGGGTCCAGTTCGGAGCTCTGGCCCAGGTAAGCCTTCATCTGTGTCATAAACTGCCTGAGAGTCTGCAGAAAATCCGTCCCTGAGGTGTGACAGCCTCGGTTCTCCTGAACAAAGCTGATGTAGTCCTGGACCAGGGAGCCAAAATATGAGCTTTTGTCCCTGGACAGCTCAGCGATCCTTTTCACCGCCCGTCTCTCGGGGGTCATGAGGGAGCTGAGCATGCCGCTCACCTTAAGGAAGCGTCCCTTCAGGGCCCTGGGGAGGATGAAGGAGCCACCGCTCAGACTAACGCCAACCATTCGCCTCCGTGCTTTGAAGGACGGACGGTGTTGCATTTCTAGGTCCGTCTCCAGACCGACCCCATAGTCTTCCTCCTCGTCTTCTTCCCCGTCCTCATCGTCTTCACTGCTGTCCTCCACTGGGTCTTGATGAGTAAGGTGTCGGGATGGACTAGGGGCCAGGCCCAGGGAGAATCCAGGAGACTGTGAATATTCCAGTGAGTCAGAGGAGGAAGTAGACATGCTCATGTCACTGAGCCGCTGGCGTCCCCTCTCCTTAGGAGTAGACAGACTCCCAGCGCTCTTCTCCAGTAGTACATCAGCAGGGACGGCAGGTGGAGGCTGGCAGGGTGGAAGCTTGGCTCGGGACAGAGCCTTGGCAATGGTCTCATCATCCAAGGCAATGTGGCAGCGGTGAGCTTCCAGATCAGGCTTCTTTGGCCTTGGAGGTGGTGGGTTTGTGGGCACAGGGACTGGTGAGCTGGCAGTTTTGGACGGGCTGCTATGCTTGGCACCCATTGATGGTCGAGCGGGAGCCTTGCGCCTGCTGAGCGACGGTTGCTGTCTTGTAGACACAGCAACGGCCTCTGGCATGCTCTTGGGTCTGGTGGTAGCTGCCAGAGGTCCAGGCGGTGGAGGAGCAGGGCGCCGGCGTGGCATCGAGCGGGGGGGAGGAGGGCGAGGGGGAGGTGGCCGTGATTTGCCGTTCAGTTTGATCTTGTCCACGTGCTGCTCGCTACCTCGGCTGCTGCTGAGCGGCTTCACGGGCGATTTCTCTGCATTCTCTAGGTTGTTATCGGACTTGACAGCACGTGAAGGTGGATCGTCCTCACGGCGGTGGTGGTGGTTCCGACGAGTCTGGAGAAACAGGGGGTTGACAAAGCACAGAGGACCACTGGAATGTCTTCTCTCAAGATGAAAGGAAGGTGGAGGAGCGCCGGACCGCAGGGTCGGGGGTGCACTGTCGCAGTGAGCCCCGGTGTGTCTCAGCCGTGACCCCTCAACCTCCCTGTTCCTGTTAGTTCGCTGGGGGCTGAGGGTACGGCTCAGAGGGCGACAGGGACGGGGGGAAGGGCGCCGCTGACTGCACAGGGCAGAGTCCCAGAAGCCTGTAATAGAGACACGGACATATTAACTATCTGAAAGCTAGACACATAGCCTACCTCTCCTCGGACAATTCAAGGCTCAGAGTGTTCAAATTAAAAGATCAGTTAAAGAAAAAGGTGAAAAAGCACAAAAACAGCATTCTCAACTACTTCTCACCAACAGCTCAGACTTTTCTTTAAAGTTTCCCTAAGTTTTTCTCTTTGCCGGTCTTTGGTCTTGCTGGTGGCAGAAGCGCGGTGAGTTCAGCCCGTGTCTCTTGGCTTGCATTCACAGGGTGCACAGCCTGAGACAGAGAGAGGGAGTCGCCCATGCTAATCATAGAGTGGGAGGGCACTGCACACACACGGCACGCAGATCCAGTTCCTCCACTCCTTCTTCCTGCTCGGTTTTCCTCTCTCTTACGTCTATGCGCTACTGAGTAGTTGTAGGACAATGTTCCGTTGTTAAATGAAGCTATTGTTATCCGCAAACCTCATTTAAATGATATTCTGCCTTTTTTTTATATCGACAGAACAAATGGAAGACATGTGCACTAATTTTGGTGTTTCTGTGTGCTGTTCCACTGAATCCATCCATTGCGTTCAGCTATATGGCATGGCATTCCTCACACTAACACTCTCAGCTTTAGTAACAACTTGAAAATAAATACTATATTGTAGCATGAAGATGTACATACAACACAATGATTTAACCACACTGAAAAGAACAGGCAACAAATCATGCCACTCCAAAATATCTATGCAGGGATTGCATCATAAACCCAGTGACGACAGTTTCCGTGGAATGGAAAATGGAAACGATACTCTTGCATTCCTGTGGCCATAAAGAAGCTGTTATTCATACCTGTTATAGTACAGCGTCTGGAGACTGAAATCTGTGCGTGGTCTTCATACTGGCCCATTTCAACAATGACCACCTGACACTGTAGAGTCTGTCTGCAGAGTAGACAGCAGGCAGCCCACTCCAAATAGCACATCTACAACTGACTGTTCCCTTTAATTTATGTTAACATTTATCTGTGATGTTTGACTGAAAAAGAACATACTATAAATTCTCAGATCAAAGCTGGTGTTCAAACAATGGCCGACTTTAGACAACGTGTTAACATGAATTAAAAGCAAACAGCATTAACAGCACATTAAAAAGGCAGCAGATCAGAAAACAGTAAGGCTCATTGCTACAACATAAAAAGGCATACATATAAAGGACGGTCGCACAGACACGAGCCGACGTGGAATCGTGACTAAGAAAAGCTTCGATCTTTTAAACTCCTGTGCGGGGAAACCACCAATATTCTCAAAGCTCCTCAAAGTTCGCCATTTTCTGCACCCATCCACATCTGCGTAGTTAGAAAATATTGGATGTGCACAAATGTGTCGGATTGCAAACAACCAGGTGGGAAAGTATAAATGTTGCCTTTAAACCAAGAACATAGTTAGCAGAACACTGGCAGAGAGCAAAAGACATTTTCACAAATCCCTTACAAATTAACTTCAGTTACAAAATCCACTGCATGTGTCTATTGGCTTGTTTTTGCAATGAGGCTCATTTGCACAGACCAAATGTATGCATATTACCTGTTTTAAATACATGCAGAAAGAACAGGATCACAGAGTCTTTCTTTTTATTGTTACAACTCACCCCTCTGCTCGGGGCCCTTGTGGCTCAGAGTGGGTTTCATAGTGCTGTGGTGCGTGAAAGGCCCATTATACTGCATCATGCCGAGTCTACAGCCATGCTAACGGCTCTGTGAGGCTGCACTTGGGCACAGCAGTGCTTTGAGCTACTGCTAACATTGGAACACTAACATGCTCACATCGACCAAGCTATATTTCTGATGTTAAGCAGATGTAACGTTCACCATGTTCATCTTTGTTTATTGCCGAAGCATGCTAACATTAGCTAATTAGCTGATGTACAGCTGAGGCTGATGGGAATGTCATTAATTTTGCATTTAGTCATCAACCCACGTACACTCTGTGATGACTGTGCTAGAAAAGTTACGATACATCCCAAGGAGACATGAACATGAAGAGATTCAATGTCAGTCCGGATCAAAATGGTGGACCGACTCAACATTGCCATCCCGTAAGTCACACTGCTATTTTGGCTACAACCTAAGTAAAGTCCTACTCTCATGAGAAATTGATTTTTTTATGATCAACAACAGGAGATACTAAGTGCCTCAAACAACGCCCCTGAAAATCTGTTGCAAAGTCACTGCAATATTCATTTGTCTCGGTTTGTAACATGTGTTTGTGTTTCACATGTGCGTGCCTAGAGTCCACAACATACAATATGACAGTCTGCTTTAAGGCTTTAAATAGAAGCGTTCCTGTGGAGGAGGGAGTTTCCCTTAATTACTGTATAAGTTAGCTATGGGAGGCCCACAGGCTGGCTCGAATTCCTTCACATCAAACGGAAGAGAGCTGCAAAGACACACCTACTAAAAAATGTGACATATGTGGATTTCCGAACAACTACCTCACATGATGTTCCGAGAGCAACAACAACAACAACCTTATTCAATCTGGCTACAGACATTCAACTCTCAACATTCAACTCTTCCATATTTTTTTTTAAATCAAGCCACGGGTTTGTGTGTCCAAGAAATGACATGGAATCCACCAGCTCTATGTATGGCTCAAAACACACAGCCACATTACACCCACATCCATACATAGGAGAGCAGCTTTTCATGTTTGTCACTAGGTCTATGTGATGTCAGCACTCACACTTAGTGTAGCTTTCCACTCGCCACTCCCTCCTCCCCCACAATAAGCTCTGAGCTATGTCGAAGGCTCTACTGTATGAAGCTGACTCACTGCAGATTCGCAGAGCTGAGACTGGAATAACTTTGAGAGATGAAGTGACTCAATCTGCTGTGAAACCGGACCTGAATGCTCAGCGAAGGAAAACACAAATACTGGCTGCTTTGTCTCTGTTTGCCTGCTTAGTCGACTGAATGTTAGCATGTTGTAGCAGGTGTGGCTCTCGCACACAGGCACCATTAGGTTAAAGATAATGTACTGTATTAAAGTGCAACACTGCTGTTTTAAGCTTGTATACTTTAGCCACTTTACTTGATGTTTAAGAAATAATACAACATGTTGTCAAATAGATTTATTCAATTTCTATCCGAGAGTTAGATAAGAAAGTTTGTATCAGTAATTCTCCTGCGCTAACATTTTAGCAACAGAGCTTTTGTTCCCTGTAAAGGTTTCTTTTGGGGGGGGGGGGGTTTCCTGTACTGATGTGAGGGTCCTGGGACAGAGGATGTCGTATTTGTACAGATTTGTGATTTGGGGATCTATAAATAAAGTGAATTGAATTAATTTGTACATAAACAGAAATGTAAAAATGACAATTGGTAACTATTCAATGAATATAAATAATTGTAACAATCTGCCCAGCATTTCTTTTCACAGTCTGCTATAGTGTGGGTTGCCAGGTCCGTGTGTGGAGGTTTCAGTACAGGGCTCTGTACAGACACATTGGTAGAAAACCTGGCAGCTGTTGTTCGTCAACAAATAGTCACTGCAACTAACTCAACATCACACTTTGTGCATTTATTTTCATGTAGTAACTAACAAAAACATGTGTTAATAGGAGCTTTAGAAGTGCTGGTAATGCACATTTAATAATTAGAGAGAACCAGGCTAGCTGCCTCCCCCTGCTTCAAGTCTTTATGCTAAGCTAGGCTAATCACCTCTCATCTCTGGCAGTATATTAAGACACACAAGCCACATCAAGCTTCTCTTCTAACAATCTTCTCATTCAAATTCCTAAAATGTTGAACCAGTCCTTGAAGTTTGAAGATAAAAAAAAAAAAAAAAACTCAACAGAATGTTCACTTTGATGGATTACCGTTCTCAGACAGATTTTAAGTCTCTGCAGTTTGTTGCCAGTGTGAAATGAATGTAAATGAATGGCTCCCTGAACAGTGAGAAACCAATCTAAAAGCTGTAGAACTCTTAAAAATGCTTAACTGAAGCTGGTTTATATCTAAAAACTTGCAAAACCACCATGGTTGTTTACTTGACATAATAAAATAATCAATGAGGCTACCTGCTCCCAGCTGAGCCACCTCCTCCAGTTCTTTCTGAGTCTTAGCCGATGCAATGGCCTCTGGGAGTTGGAGTGTGAAAGGCAGGACATCCCTAAGTGAAAGATGAACAATAAATGTGACCGAGAATAAAGATTAGAAATACAATATCAGAAAGAATGAGAAAATGTTGATACACTTCAGTATGTTTTGTGATACTGTATCGATTGATTTTTAATCAATACTTAAAAATATATATTTGTATGTTGACACAGAAGAAAACTGGGGATAGGATGGATGGAGTGTTTACCTGCTAATACAGTAGAAGGCCACCAGGCGAAACAGATCTGCAAAGCTGATCCCAGATTCCTCGAGAGAAAAGGCTGCAAACAAATGAAATGTTTCCAGACTGAATTACAAGAGGGGATGATCAAGAAAGTGAGTTCCTTCACTCTGCTCCAGACTTAATATCTCAAATACTGGATGAATTGTTGAGAAATTTTGTACAGATGTTCAAGGACCTCAGAGGATAAACTCTAATTGCTTTGGTGTACTAAAAGAAAAGACAGGGATCACAAGAGTGTTGATAGTTTTGCTTTTTACTGTCAATATGGAATGGATTGCCGTGAAATTTGGTAGAGATATTCAGGGTTTGTAAGGGATGAGGTGACTTTTTATGTAGCGTCACCAGGAGGTCAAATTCTTCAATTATCCTCTAAGATACTGTATCTCCACATCTATACTGATTGGCACAACATTTGGTACAGATCCTGGTTCCAAGAGGAGCAGTGGAATTTGGTACAGACATTAGTAGCAGGGTTCAAACCCCTCTTCAGCAAACACACTCACTGTTTCAACAAGGCACTCCTACATCGGCTCTTTACTGTACAATACCAATAAGTGACAATACCTTTGCTTTGCTTTGGAGCTGGCTAATCTGAGACTTCTAAGTTTTCTGATATGAATTTGCATAATTTTATTTCTACATAGAGCAACTATAAAGACAGCATTTACCCTTCCCAATGTGATATTTAAGCATCGCTGTGCTTGTTAGTGAGCAGCCTTAAAAGGACTGGTGATTTGTATTGGTTAAAAGTTTAGTTCAAACAGTCGGTACATGGCTAACTTTAAAACAGCAGGCAGTGTGAGAGACCAACTGGAGAGCAGCTGACCCACATTTAAAGGACAAACCCGGCCAAAGGCGGACGGCCTTCCCATGTGTGCTGTCATTACAGCAGGGAAAATCCACAGCTGGTGTGTCATCACAATTTGGCACCATCACTGCTCCATGAACTGAATTATTAGAAGTGATAAGCACAGTTACAACATGAATGACGTTTTTCGTGTGATACGATCATAAGAGTTAACCACTAGAATATAGTTGTTTTTCTCGTATGGCATCATATGTCAACATCTTGACTATCTTCAAGTGCAAGTGTTCCCAAAGTCACACATGCACACAGCTGCTTAGCTACAGCATGTTACCTGTTCAATGTCACTGTTGAGGAAGTGCAAACAAATGTGACCATGACCAAACAGTCACATTCAAATAACAGCTAAGTGCTAGCAGGAATCTACTTTGGACACAATCAGAGGAGCTGACCAGGGAAACGGAAAGACCACAACTGGAGCTCTGTGATCCATCAGGCCATTACAACTTCTGAGTCACGTGAATTTACTTTTTTAAAAAACAATTTTAAGATGATCTGAAAGCCCCCCCCCATGTTCCTTACTGTACTGGCTCTCTCTGACAGGGAAGTGGCTGACTGGAGTTCCTGATGGATCCTCCTTCAGACGCACAGACAGAACCTTTCTCTGCAGTGCGGCTGACTTCCTGACCAGGAAAACCTGAAAGTTATGAAATATACAATGTTAGACAATAATCAAAAATGAGACGCATTAGCACTTGTATTTGGACGGTAACCCCTCACCCCAGGAGGTTGTCTGAGCAGAATACGACCGGCCTCCTCTTCACTGACGGCCAGCAGCAGCCACACCGGATGGGTTCGACTCAGCCTGTCCAACACGCTCATCCTCCTTCGCAGGGAGTCGTATCCAGAATCCCTCTCACCCCCCTCCCCCCCACAGTGGGGGGACTGGAGGTAAACGCCGCTCACCTCACTCTCCAGCCTGGCAGAGAAACACAGAGAGAGAGAGAGACAGACAGAGAGTGAAACTCTTTTGCCATCTGCTGGTGACAACAAGTACCAATGTGTAGAGGTATTTACAAACACTGGTGAAGGAAGTCAGATTCGACAGAACGCAGAACAAGATGAAGGTGAAACACGGTGTGGCTCATCAAGATTTTCAGACACAATAAAAAACATGACTAGTCAGGTTGAAGATAGGAGGAAGTGCTGTCTTACCCTCGTAGATCCATAGGCTCTCTGTTGGCTGTTGGAGAGGTCTGGACCATCTCTCTCTTCAGCTCCCCAATCTCCAATGCAAATGTATCAATCAGCTGGAAGCAGACAGAATGAGAGGGGATATAAGAAGGAGACGAGGAGAGGGAACAGCAGTAAAGGAAACCGACAGCATTGCTCAAACATAAATTAGAGAGCAAGTGACGGAGGGACTGTGCTGGCTACATCTGGAACAAAGGGCAGGGAAACCGTTTCCTGTGTACCTCATTTCCTTTAGGAAGGAAACATCAAGACAAAAGCATTGTCAAAGAAGTGACCCACATCAACATCCAGAGTGAGAGGTACTGTGTGCAAACACATGCAGAACTCTGGCAGGAAAGCTTGACGGATTGCTCCTCCCGTGTCACGCAGGACTATTTCAGGAGATAATGTGTTGTCGTGTCATCTATGTTTAGCACTAATTAGTCAACGGAGTGAACTGTTAAAATAAAAATGGCATGTAGGATTGTGTCTTTGTACTGTGTTTAGTTTTAGCTAACGTTATAAATACTGATGACAGATGTGGAATGTGTTTCACGATCGCTGAAACAAAGCATACCTAAAACTCTTGTGGTCTGCTGCCCAATGCGAACAGGAAGTGTAATGTAGCCAGTCAGTGAGTTACATTGTGGGCTACAACTTCAGCCCTGTTTTTTCAGTCTACATTTGATTACATTTTGGCAAATTGACACCATTAAAAGTATGCAGAACTAGTTATTAGAAGTTCCTGTTTGCAATGCATCTACAGATGTACAGACAACAATACTGGATTACTTTGTTCCAAAGATTCTCAGGCAAACTCTGGAGTTATAAGGAGCATCTTTTTTCTATGGTTTCTATGGTGATCCATGGATGAAAATCTGCAGTAGATGTATTAATTAAAGAGATAATGGTAACCTCAGGAAGTGAGTGAATAAGTGTTTGATGTCTGAGCTCAGGTTTGACTGAGTTATGAGAGAAGAATTGCGATATCTAACACAAATTGCTGTCATCTGGTAAAAGTACTTCATTGTCTCTTAAGCTGTGTTGTGCTGACCCCTTGTTGATGAAATGAACAAATCAGTGGGACAAACTAGCAAAACTCACTTCCTGTTTCCTCTGGAACACCTGCGTGCACCTGTCCTTTTCTGCTCATGCAGCATATGAGAATACGATATGAGAATCCCCCTCCGAAAAGGACTTGTTAAAAATAGAGTGGAAAAACTGCTCAGCTGTATTAAGACTTCTAGCAACTAATTGCTTCTCATGTTGTTGTTTTTTTCCAGCCTCGTCCACATTCCTGCATCCTACATTGCAGAAATTCCTCAAACACATCCGAGCAGATGTTCGCATTTGGCTGCTTTACTCTGATGATCTGGGTCAAACAGTGCAATCAAGTAGGCTTCCTAACAGTGCATCTGGATGCAGAGCACAGTATAATGAAGACCACAAATGTGAGGTGATGAAAGCATGTCAGTGTGATATTATCAGGCTTCTTTAGATGTGGTAAGCTTTACCCATGTAGTGCAAACACAAAGCATTATACAGAATCACTAGTTTACATTTCAACCAGTAGGAGGCCTCCTTGTCCAAACGGTCTTCCACCAGCTGGGCTCCAGACCACAGCCACCACAGGCCCCTCTGACTCCCCCCTCCTACGACTAAGTGGAGCCAGCTCTGTGAAAGCCTCACACTCTACACAGCATGAGTGGACGGTGTTACTGGAGCCCTTAACACTGTACACTTCAAACACAAACTGAGGACGCTCAATTAGAACCCTGGTGAAGACAGTGACAAGGGTCTATAGACAACTGACCAGCACTGTAGAGAGACAGACAGCAAGAACCCTCCTGCCCTCTCTTTCTCCTCTGGTGACACGGAAATCGCTCCCCCTCCGCCATGATGGAGGATCTTCAAATCCCTTAAATGCACCACGAAGAGGAGCTTGGAGCTAGGAAACACAGATGCACCCTGACATGCTGCACCTCCACATGTGGCAAAACATACTGAAATTGTTCCTCAATAAGTGGTTCTGCATACCAGTGGCTTTGACAGCTGTGCAGCACGTCAGCAGTAACTGGCGCTATGGAACCAAGGATCTCTCATGTGGCTCCTCCATCCTCACATCTCTTTCACAGGAGACATGTTAGCATAATGAAAAGCAGCAGAAGTTTCAGTTTAAACTACTAGAACTGATGAATGCTGATGACAGAGATTTTGGAGTTACAAAGTGCTAATCTGATTGTAATATTTAGAACAAAAGATTTTGGATTTGCCTGGTTAGATCAACAAATCGTGACGTTATTACAATAACTTTACTTCATAAATTTACTTTATAGAATCTGTTATATTTAATAGTCACACACCAATTCTTATTGAAGTGTGATTATTACACTATGGATTATTACATACTGGATATGTACCTCCCTTATTTCACCACTGTATCTCTTTAAAGCTCAGGTGAAACAGCTGGACAGAGAATGGAAACTGGTCCAACCTCAATTCCAGCACAGGAATGCTGCATTGGGGGGGGGGGGGCACGGAGTGGGAGGAGCCCAGCAGCGAGAGTTATTAATGTGGCTGTGGAGAGAAGCCTTCTGTGAAGAGAGGGCCATTGAATTATATGAACGACATCATGGAGACTCCTGAGCTAGAAAATGGAAGGTGAACACACATGTTGCTGAGTGATTCAAGCATAGACACACGCCAGAGCATTGTTCATTCAGCTCCTTAAACTTGTGAATGCGTGTGTGTCGAGGTAAGTGATTCTCTGCATGCACTGCTGTTAAAGCCATGGATGGAGTCAACGGGAAACTATGTTTGGTTTTGACACACACACACACACACACACACACACACGGTTTCAGAGTTAGTGAGGACGGAAAAGAACGGTAGAGGAAATTAAAAGCCAGACAACTTTCAGTGTTTGTTTCTTAGTTCATTCTTGATCCTGGTCTAACTCTTTTTTTTTTTAGCTTTGAAAGTGGGTTTCATTTATTCATCTGCCTAAAACACTGAATTTGTCAAACAACCTGAATGAACTAAGAAGATGCAGCCAGGTGAAAGATCTTCCACTGAGACACAGTGCTCATCACAAGCTTTACGTCTCGTGCTTGCAGGGATTTAAATGAAGAGCACGACTTTTCCTCTTGACCATTATTGGGGCTTCCAACGCACAAGACTGTAGCTGCTTTACATACAGTGGGTATGGAAAGTATTCAGACCCCTTTAAATTGTTCACTCTTTGTTTCATTGCAGCCATTTGCTAAAATCAAAAAAGTTCATTTTATTTCTCATTAATGTACACTCAGCACCCCATCTTGACAGAAAAAAGAACAGCTGCTGTAGCAACACTGGTAAAAATGTATACAGATGTCAACCTCCGCGTCTGAAAAGTGAAGCAATGCTGAACTGTCTTAAACCTGCATTCTCTCTCATGTCCATCAGGGGGCGACTCCTCTGGTTGTATAGAAGTCTATGAGAAAATGAGTCTACTTCTCACTTGATTTATTACCTCAGTAAACATTGTAAACATGAGTTTATGGTCTCAATCTCTAGTTCCAAGTCTTCTTCAATACAGCATGATGTTCATTTAGCAAATTATGGTCCATTTAGAGTCAAATAGACCATAAAGCAGGGTATCAAAAGGAACGTAAACAACTTTCCATGGCTATTGCTAGCACTCACTGTTGTCAAGTTAGCAGCTTGTTGAAGGGGCAGGTAGTTTAGTAGACAGGTAGGTAGAGACAGGCAGGTAGGTTGACATGTAGTAGGTACATAGACAGAGAGACAGGTAGAGATAGGTAGGTTGGAAAACAAGTAGGTAGAGACAGGTAAAGTAGTTAGACAGGTAGGTATGTAGTCCGTCCTATCATTACTTTTGGGCAGAAGGAAACGATTGGATGTGTACCGTCCCTTATGACAGTCACAGCTGATTTATTTCTATTCTATATTTGATCCATCAAGATGTAAATAGAATTTCAACAAATGTAACAAACAAAAATCTAAAATACATTGCCCACCCTGGCTTTAATCAACTTTATTTTTCATATTTTGTAATCTATTAAGTGTATAAATTCAATGAGAAGTGTATAATGATTCATGTAAAAAGGTGTAATGAGCTAAAGCTTCAGGCAACACCTTTTCCATCAGCATAAACTTGCTGATTACCATTTCAAAAGTAATGACTTGTTGTTTTCTTATACTTTATGTGTATTTGAGTTGTGGAACTCGAAATCAAAACAAAATAAACAAAACAAAATAGTATATTTTGCCATTCTTTCCAGTGTGCAGCTTAACATCAGGCATTCCTTTTGTAAACAATGAGAACCAGCAGAACAAATACAAGCTGCTACTCTGACAAATACTGTTTACTTGACATGAGCCTTGATTAGAGTAATCATGTTATGTAAGTTAGGCAACAAAAATAAGGTCAAATTAGTCAACTCTGTTTAAAATACATCACCTGACTTCTTCATTACTTTTCACACACTGTAAAGTACATCTACAGACTGTTTGCACTATTTGTCCCTGGCAGGACATGAATGATAACCACAGCAGCAGAGAGGAGACACATTTAGCTTCGAGTGGTCGTAGGACTAGAACAGCGCTATACAAGTTCAACTCCATTTCCTGTTTTCACAATTTGAAAGTTAGTTGGCTCGCTCCAAGTATTTAGGTAGGCTCTCATTATCATAGTTTCATAAATGTTGCTTTGTTTGACTCACAATTTGTTTAAATTGAAAAGAGGTGAAAGTATAAAGAAACACGGCCGGATCAGCAAAGAGATAAAGAAAAGACAGCTAAAGGGACAGCGATAGAGCACAGTGAAAACAAGAGGCAACACAGTTTTCTTCTGTTCTAAACAAACAAGTATTGAGTCAGAATATCCGAAAAATCCCATTTGATACACAGGAAGTGATGCGTTTTATATTTCAAAGGGATTTTTTGCAAAGTCAGCTACATGAATCATCCATCAGTCCTCACCTTAAAGAAGCTCCCGCTCCTGTCTGTGAGGCCACTGAGGGGGTTAGAGCTGGAGGCCATGTTGTCTTCCTGTCTGGGACAGCGTCAGCAGGAACTCTGTGGGTCAAAAGTATGTTTCAGCTGTGGTGCAACCAGAGGACATTCCTGCTTTGGCCACAGCCAGTAATATGGAGGTGCTGGTCTCTTCCCCCCTCCTCTCTCTATCTTGTAGCTGTCAACACATTTACCTCTTCTTCTCCTTTCATTTTCCTGCCTCCTCTCTCTTTGTTCCGCCCTCGCCCCTTGATCTCAGACAACTGCCTCAATCCTATTTTATCTCATTCCAATCCTAATCCTTAGCCTCTGTCCTCTCATTACCTGTCTCTCCTGTTTCCTCCCTCTCTCACATTTCACTAGACTTTGTTCCCATGTCCTACATACACAATTCATTTTCCATCTTGTCCTCGGTTCCAGCAGAGCTGCCCTTCTTTCCCACCATAGTTTATCTCTCGGTCTATTTCTCTATCTGTGTCTATTTAAAGAAGCACGAACTTCCTTCTTCTCCAACTTAATTTTAGCAAACCACTTGAATCCGCCAATTATTTTAATGATAATTGACTCGGTGGTCACTCCCTCCCTCTGCAATTTTACTGATGCCTCACAAGAGATGTGTGAGCAGTTTTTAAACTTTTTTTACAAACAGAATCAAATAACCCCCCAGACCGTGTTTTACATGTCTGGAGGGATATTCCTAGTTATTTTAGCAATTTTAAACCTGTATCGCCGTCTTGATTTTATCGACTCTTAAACATGCTGTGGTCCAACCTCTTTTAAAGAAACCTAATCTTGATCCCTCTGTTCTTAGCAATTAACAGAGGGATCAAGGTTAACGTCACATTGCTGTAAAGGATGTATCGGATTTATTATCGGATTTATTATCGGATTTATTGTCAGATGTATTGAGTAGTTTTACGATACTGGTATCGGTGCACTTCCTTTATTTTTTACAATGCCCCCTGACGTTTTAGCAAGTATTGCAATGAAAGTTGCGCTGAGCACAAATGTCGTTATGCGTGCTCGTAGCTCATGAGCCGGCTGTGAAGTCCCACACCACGGTGCTTAAGCGACTATAAACAAGGCCTTAAGCTAACTGGGCTCCATGCTGTCAGAACTGCAGAAAAGAACTCCCACACCTGGGTCATGTTATTGGCCTGAGGCAAACCAGATGAAGTGTGTGTGTGTGTGTGTGTGTGTATTCACAGGACAGGAAGGGATGGAAAGAGTGCGGTTGATTTAAATACACTGACTTGGCCATTTACTTTACTTACTTAAACCAGAAAGGCTATTCCTTAAAAACAGCTCCACCAGGAAGGAGTCTAAATACTCACTGCTTTTTTCCATGAAATGTTTATTGACGTTCTGTTTGTCAAACACCAGCCTGACTAACAGCCTAACCTCTAATTATAGATTTAGGAGGCTCGCAATAGCAACATGCAAACCTTCAAAATCACACCGATCAAACTTCACATACATACAGTATATCGAGGTTGCCACTGGACTAAAAACCAGACACCAGCCCTGCCCAGCCACAACTTTCCAAAAGGTCAACTGAGAAAAGCCTGTGATGTTTTCTCTGGGCTACTCCCCTTTAAATTAGTACCAGGAACACTGAGCAATGTCTCTGCATAACTTCTATTTTTGAGATGTATAAAGGAAGAGGGGGAGGCGAGCAGATGAGCAGATAATAGTCCAATACCACCATTACAGCAGCACTTGTTGTTGAGTCATGGAGGAGATATGAAAGACAAGCAAAGGGTAAACATACACCGGAAAGCCTGGCTCTAACCAAGACCGTACTACAAACCCCGGACCCTCAGGGGCCCCAAAGGCTTCATGCTCACTGTGTGACAACTAGATAGTGGTATTTACAATTATTGTATATGCTGCACAATAAAGACGATTTTGAACCTGTTTCCCAAGTTGCAACACCTCTACAGGTTGGTAGCTGGTGACTGAATGTCTCTGCAGTGGCCTTTTATGGAAAACATAACTCAAATCTCAATACGCAGACGTGATACACACATAAAGATCAATAAATCAGATGTCTCCTATAGCTTCAGATCTTTCCTAATCAACATTAACAATCAGACTTTCTTCAGTATCCAGTGACCCAGTGAATGTTGTCTGTTTCCGTGGTTCCAGAGTAAACGGGAAGTGCTAGTAGCTGATGCAGCATGGCACAAATGCTCAACTGTAAACAAATATAGGCTCAAAAACAGAGCTCAATGTGTAGCCAAAAGCCAACTCACTGTCTTCATGGCAACATTATACGTTTTGCTTGCATCCCCCAAAGCATGATGGGAATTGTAGATCCAATGGAGGGATGGAAGAAGTCGTATTTTTGGCAGCTCCATAGCGCACCAACACGGTCTGAATCAATGCATGAAGCAGATATTCAGTCCAGTTAGCAGTTAGCTCCTGTGAAAGCATTCAGTGCTAACAGTTTACTCTCACACCGGCGGGAACTAGAGTGGCTGCTTTCATAAACCTGCCAGGTTCTCGGTTTCAGGGAGAAGTGGTTTGACCAGAGTTTACTTCAAAATATAAAAGCACGGAAATCACAGACACAAAACAATCTCTCTAGGCCGTTAAAAACAACAGCACCTGAAGGCAGCAGATGGTAACAGTAACTGTCATTTTAAGGTCCCAGTGAACAAAAACAACCTCAGCTCCATAACCCTAGCAAGTACTGACTGAAGTTAGCATTCATTAAAATACCTTGCAGCTGATTCATTTCCACAAAGCAGCATGCAGCTCGGGCTCCGTGTGCCAAAAAGCCTTGGTCTTTCAGTGAAGCTAATCTCTCCAACAGATTCCAAAGCAGCTTAGACGAGGAAATTCTCCCCTTTATTACATATGGATAAACTGAGCAGCAGAGGACGACATGTTGTGTTCAGGTTCAGACGGGTCTCACAGATCATGTGGAGGTGTGTGAACATGTTTGAACCGCTCTTAGAACTTGACAGTGGAATAATTCCTGTGAAATAAACAAGTGAGCGACAGTATGTACTTTCATTCATCTGACTTTTTGGGAGAGTAGGGAACGATATGTTATGTATGCGATTATTTTAAGCACAGATTTAGATTTTACTATTCATTTCATAACAATTGTTATTTGAAATCCAGGGGTCAGGACAAAGTCCCTCAGAAGCGACAGAAGGACTCATTTATTCAGGTTTTTTTACACACAGTAAAAACCCACTAAAAGAAGGCGATGGTCGTTTTTTTTCTCTGGCGTGTCACGTTCAACAACACTGTTGAAAACAGGGTTAGTAATCAGTGAAAGTGTTACGGTGCTTCTTTTTTGTATCTTACTTATTCAGTCCCTCTTTTCAACTCTCAAACCAGAGTTGGTGATTGTTGGACTAACGTAGACGGTTTCGGTGAGGTTCATTTTGTTTCTGTTGACTGAAACAAAATGTCTGTTGTGTCTGACTGGAGTCTGGTGGCTTTGAGGATAAGGCATATTGATTGTATGTTTTGTTTGTTGATAAATTATAATAATCGTCCAAAAATCTTGGACTTCAAAGTGCGTCACATAGCATGGCACTGGAAAAAAAATGGGCTAAAATGATCGTGTGATGTTTCCGTCACTGCTGATCGAAGCCGGAGCCGATTAATAAAGCAGACTACTGCAGAGTCATCTGACCCAGGAATCAATGCTGAGCCTTTGAAGGCAAAAGCCACACGTTGGTGGGTGTTGGCGAGGTTTTAGTCCAGTGGGAAAAGCTTATGTTCATCATTGTTTTTGTTCTAACTTTTGTCAAGGTTTAATTCCACTGTGCGAATTGGTGGAAATTAATATTCCATCAGTATGTTAGGATTTAAGATGCTCTGACTATTTTACTTATTATTAAAGAAAGGTATTATAATATTATCTGGGAGGGTCTTGTTACGGTATATATATATACATGAAAGTGAAACGGTTTAGCCCACCCCGATCATTTTTCCTTATCATTTGTCCCCTAACTGATATAAAACTGCAATATGGGGGGGGGGGGTCTAACATGTGTGTGATGTAGAGTAGGGGTCTTCAACGTTTTTCAGGCCAAGGACCCCCCCAAACTGATAGAGAGATGGAGCAGGGACCCCCGACTATATATATTGTATAAAATTGTTTTATATTAAACTGGGCCTAGTACCATGTATAAATATACCTTGTTATTGTGCATTCAATACTAAGCTATTCAAATAATACACAGGTTCATATATTCATGTTTTTATTTTAAACATGTGCAAGGTACAGTGAGTAGGGTGGCCACGCCACTGCCATTTATAAACATACCTTGTCAGCTGATACCAATGCCAATATCAACATTGTCTGTCAATTGCATGATAATCATGCATACAAGCTATTCAAATTGACGTTTTCATTTTAAACATAAATCTGGAAACGAAAATGAGTGATGGCCTATTAGTGCCACTGCCATGCATAAACATACCTGTTATCTTGCATACAATACTGAACTATTAAAATAATGGACAGATTCATGTTTGGAAAAAAAAATGTGTCTAATCAACCAAAAGTTTTGCGGACCCCCTGCAGTACCCCCGCGGACCACCTAGGGGTCGCGGACCCCCTGTTGAATACCTCTGATGTAGAGCCGTGCACATGTATGAAGCTTTATATTGACAGGAAATGTTTCAGGCATTTAGGCCCAATAGCACAGTCTTCTCCTGCACCTGTGATCAGATGCAGCATGTGCTTCTGCAGGAGAAATGGGAGCAAGCAGCATGAAATAAAAAAGATAACAGCCACAGATAATAAAAAAGAAGGGGGACAGCATCTGCATCACTCAACATGCAGAAAACTCCCAAAGCTTCCTGCTCAGACTCCAGCTCCTCCTCTCTTCACCAGGAGTCTGGTTTTATGGAGGTGGGTCTGTGGCAAACATTCTCATGTCTCCTGTATCAAAACAACAGCGCTGCTTGGAAAACAACAAAGAGTGAGCAGCAGGTTAGGAAGCGTTGAACCTTCTGTTTCATGTCTCTGCAGAGTCACTGCGCATCATATGAACAGGGACATGCTTCTCTCTGATAGAAAACTAACGCTTCATTTTCAACAGTGTGCATAGATCCACTTTCTCGCTGGTATGAACCAGAGTCCACCAGAGTCCACCAGAGTCCCGCTGCACAAAGACAACTTTACTCACCTTTCTCCGTTACTCTCCGTTACGCTCCGTTATGCTCCGTTACGCCGTACGGTTTGGTTTCGTAGTGACACCGAGGACCCGCTCGGTTACATGCTTTAATGTCGGACAGACAGACCGAGACACCGGGTAGGTGTTACGGACCGAGAGAGATCCAGATGTGGGGGCGTGGTAATACGATGCCTCTGCCTGATTGGCTGAGGAGGTCGTGACGATTTTTCACCTTGACTTTACATTTTGTAAAGATGTCCATGAAAGCGTTTTGTATGTGTCTCATTGTTTTTCATAAGCAGCTGATATTGAGAAGCTATGACACACTACAGGTGTTACTGTAGAAATGTTACACAGTATGATATTGAACATGAATAATGTTATCATTAGATAGTGAATACTTAAAATGGTGGTTTAATATTCATTTATCCATTACACAGCAAGAATCAACTTTTTGATTAATCAGTGCATTATTTAACGCAATACAGTTCGCAATATAGTTTAATCAAACACAATGTGTGTGTGCAGAGTGGTTGTGGTTTGCACGGATATTTATTTTTCCACCATATTGTTCCTTGAGTGAAGGCAGAGCACAGCGTGTAAAAGGAGACGCAGAGTAAAAGTGTTTACCATTTCTACCACTAGATAGCAGTATAAGTATATTTAAACCACAGATCTAGTTCTATATACCTGTGTCTTTGTTAATTGTCTAGGTCAGGGATTCCCAAAGTGTGGTGCAGGGGTGCGCAAGCTGCCTCTAGGGGGTGCGCGAGAGGAAAAATGTAATGGTGGTCTAATGGTGCAATAATTAATATTAAATATAATTTAAAAAATGGTAAGTGGGATTTTTCAAAAAATAAAAACATGAATTATAAAAATTCCCTTTGTAGGATTTAAATTTAAAATTAAAAACTTACAATTGAATAAATAAATGCACTTCAGCTCCTGCCGCCAGTCTTTTACGTACACACTAGCTAGCCTAGCTTGTGCAGCTAACGTCAGCTAACAGCTAACTTCATTCATTCAGCAACATTCATGCAAATATGCTAAACTGGCTGAAATCTGGGAAACTGTCAGGTGGGACATCTGAAGCTATCAGTCATAAAAGAGGAGAGGGACAGAGAGAGAGAGAGGAATCGGAGGCGAGAGAAACAGAGAGGTGCGTTGGGGAGAGACCGGGAGAAGAAATTTAGCGGGAGTCAGAGAAAGATGAGACGGAGGAGGACCGAAAAGGAGGAAAGGATAGCACAGACAAATCGGGAGCACATAGGCCCATAGCGGAGTCAAGGTGAAAAAAAAGAGGAAACGAGTGTGTGCATCAGAGTGGGAAAAAAAAGAGGAAATATGATGAAATATGATGAAAATGATCTGGGTCTGGGCTTCACTTGGATTGGCAATGCAGATTGGCAATGCCACCTGAACACCAAGCATGCCAGTGCAAGTCAAAAGCCAGTGCAAGTCAAAAGCCACATTTTTAATATCGAAATTGGAGGAGTTACAAAACAGCCAAAAACAACTGCAGTCTCATTCATGTGTTGGGTCTACAAAAAACGCACTACGGGCTTCATATCTGGTCAGTTACAGCAGTTTTTCAACCTTTTCTGAGCTGCGGTTCTGTGGAAACCCTCAAGATGGAGTGAAGGTGCATCAGTGAGACAACTCCTGTGTGGGTTTTTGTTCATCTTCATCACAGAGAAAAGCTGCTCACACAGGTTTGTGCTCCCAAACATGCAGAGTATTTGAGCAGCATGTAGGTGGAGTTAACTTAAGGCATCGTTTCGGGGGTGACGCTTGGAAACTGTGCAGCGCCCACAGTGTCATACTTTGCCTTGAGTGTCATTACACTGGAGGTCTATCAGCTCCACAGGTGCTCTTTCCACGTCAACTGCAAATGGATTGCTGAGCAGTTCAAATTAAAATTTCTGAGCTGCAAAGTTGGCAAATCGCCGAGTGAACTCCGTGCCAAGTGCGCCCAGTTTATCAGAAAAATGCGCAGTCGGGAACACATGGAGACTTTTACTGCCTCACACATGTCTGTGATCACACGTCCCCGTCCCTGATGCTACATCCATACTACTACGTTTCTATTTGGAAGTAGATTTGTCAAATAGAAACGATCTCCGTCCACACCGGCGTTTCAGCGTTTTCGAATTGATATGCATCCACATGGCAACCTTCGAAGACGGGCAACACGTGAACATTAACGTACACTGGGCATGCGCGTGACGGTGTAAACAGGAAGTAGATTGGTTGCTGAGTTTAAAAAAAATACGACAGAGTAATAAAGTAGTCTTTAATAATGAAAGGTTGTGTTTGATACTTAAGATCTTCCTCTCAAATATTCCTCTATAAACTCAAACAGACACAGTTCGTGGAACATTTTAGAAGTTTTATTTTTCAGACTTAGTTACAGCGCTGCGGGTTTTTCTCTATCTCTCTCTCACATCAAATTTACTTTAAAATCAACACTTACACGTAAACATTTACTAGATTATGGTCCATAAATGTGGTCAACACACATCTCTCACTCTATTCTGCTCTTGCTTAGCCATCATGTAACATGTCCGACTAGCTAGCTTATAAGCTAATTTTAACATTACCGCCAATGGAGAAATGCTAACCGCGATTAGCATTTAATACAACACAAATGCTATACTAAAAGAGCGAATAGAATATATCTTCGTACATCTTTTCATGCTTCATAAAGAAATACTTACAGACTAAGGTCTCTCAAGGCTACCAAACGGAAGAAGTAAAACGTTAGTGCAGCGTGTCTTCTCATTAGAATCTAAAAACAACGAGGCACTAACTACGGCAAGAGAGGAGGGATAAATATGAGCATGAAAATGTCGTTTTTTCTAAACGCATCAGTTTCCGACCGTCCACACTCAAACGCAACCCCGGAGTTTTCAAACACCTCCAATCTCGGGGGTGTTTTCAAACTCCTCCGTTTAGGGGGCTCCAAAACTCCGGCGTAGTGTAAACGTAGCAAAACATATGTGTTTCCAAACGTAAACAGAGTAGTTTGGACATGGCCTAAAGCTGGAGGTTTAGCGCAGTGAGATGCTTCGTTATGTTGCACAAAAAGCCAGCTCATGTCGCCACTTTTCGTCCCGGACCTCTGTAGTGTGGCGGGCCAGTTATGATAAACATATGATATTTTCTGGCCGGCCGTTGTACCGAGGGCCGGATATATGCTGACAATTTAATGACAAGTCTCTCAATGTGTTGATCCTTACTAGGCTTTTCATCTGGGTTAGAACGTTGTCCAGGGCCCAGTTCAGAGTCTGCATTTTTCCTTTTCAAATATTTCACCATCGCTGTTCGTCTCGTCACCGCAACTTCTCCCGTCCTAAATTAACACGGTCATTACTGCGCTACCTACTGCCACCCACTGGCATGGGAGAGTATTTATTACTTAGCCAGCCACTATGTTGCAGCTCAGACGCTCAACAATGGTAAAGTATTTGCAACAACAACTAAATAATATTTTATTGGACTCATTAAGTGAAATTGGACATTTTCCCGCGGCACACCTGGCGATCTCTCACGGCACACTGGTGTGCTGCGGCACAGTGGTTGAAAATCACTGAGTTACAGAATAGCAAGAAAGTGGCAACCTCACACAATCGCCGAAGACGTGTGCTTGCCAGCTGCCAAAAAGATGGTGTAATGTATGATTGGAGAGAGAGAAGCAAAAAAGTTGGACATGATCCCGACATCCTGGCTACATTAGTCGGTTGCGTGAAGAAGAGTGAGTTTTACTCTCTGCAAGTAGACGAGTCGACAGATGTGGCCAATCTGGCCAATCTTCTGGTGTACGTCCGTTACCTTTTC